GGCGGAGTCTTTGTTCATTTTCCTCCCCTGGCAGGGCCCAGGACAGTGCCTGATGCAGCCCACAGGCCCCACTGAATGAACAATGAATGAATGAATGAATGAATGAATGAATGAATGAATGAATGAATGAGATGGAGCTAGAGGGGACGGTGCCCCAAGTGCCAGGTGAAATTTGGATTTCCGGGCTCTCCTGGGGACCTCAGAAGAGTCCCCTGCCCTTTCAGAGCCTCAGTTTACCTACTGCACCATGAGAGACTTGGAGCGCCCAGCTTTGATGTGCTGTGACCCTCACAATGGCTCTGCCCAGGGAAGGGACATCACTGATGACAGCAAAGCTAAAGGGTGACAGAGGAGCTGTCAGTCAGCTCGATTCTCACGGCGATAGAGCCAAGCGCTCTCACAACCAAGGGAGACAAAGGCACAGGGCGACAGCGGGAGACACTAGCCGCTGGTGATATCCAAAGGGGCAGGCCTTGGCTGCAGGATCTAGGGAAGGAGAGGAAGATGAAGGGAGGGTTGAGGTGCCCTCAGACCTGGGCCCCATGCGTGTGGGGGGCTCCTGTATCTTTCTCTCAACCAAACTCATTCCCCATGCCCTAAAGCCAGAGAGAAACCCTTCGTGATGCCCAAGCCGTCCAGAGAAAAATGAAGACCAGTCTTGGATGGGTTTGTGAGCGAGTTTAATGTCCGAAGTCCAGGAGTGCGCAGGCAAGCACTCCTACCTTGGGCATGCACGCACAGCAGGGGCCCGGGGAAGGCAGTGCAGGCAGGGTGACCTCTTGCCTAGATGAGCAGACCCAGGAGCTTCGGCGGCCCGTGCACTGCACAGGAGGGCGCCCAGCTGCGGCTCCCCTCTCTCACGTGTCCCTTGGTCCTGCAACAGACTGGGTGTTCAGTCCCCACCCACCCCCACGGGGTCACTCAGGCAGAGCTCCAGGGCGCTCACTCACCTGCCAGGGTCTGAAGGGGGTGCCCTGCGTCGTGGCCGCTGTCCTGACCCTTCACGGGAGGCTTCCCCAGTTTCCACCCACGCCAGGCCACACCCCAGAGGACTCCTGCGGCGAGCAGCTTGCTGAGGAAGACTAAGGCCAGGAGGAGGACGGGAGTGGGCAGGAAGGGGGTCTCTCCGGGGCGGCTATGTGCAGAGAGAGGAGGTAGTTGGAGACAGCAGTGCTTCTGGGGCAGTCCGCTCTTGGGGATGATGGGGAGAGCCGGGCGGGAGGCTCCAGTCCCCATCACCCTCCCCCACCCCGCCCACCGGGACGGGGGCTCTGAAGGCCTGGGGCGCTGTGGTCAGCTTACAGCGGGCTCAGCCTCAAACCCACTAGGTGCACTAGAACGCCACTTTCCTGGTTGGGCAGCCTGCGGCCATCCCAAGGGCCGGCATGCTACTGTGCTTGTGGTCACGTGACTTATGCTGCCGGTTTGTGGGGGCGCCAGGAAACAAAGGAAGGCTGCCTATCCTGAGGTCTTAGAGCAAAGCTCTCGACCAGGGAATCGAGGAGGACCTCGGATCTGCGTTGGTGGTCTAGTGGTGAGCACAGCAGCCTTCCAGGAGGACCCTGGGTGTGGACCTCTGCACGCCGCCCCCCAGACACCCCAGCAGGCTGCAGGGGTCTAAGAAAGGCCATACACAGACCCTTTCCTGCCTTCGGGCATAGAACCCCTCCCCACCCTGCGCCCAGCTCTGTGGGGTCAAAGGCTGTGGACACAGAAAGGGACCTCACGGTACCTGGAGACACTCTGCTCCACCTGGGCACCATCAAAGGCCTCTGACTCCTCGGGTCCCCAGATGTCCCCATCCTCCTGCAGGATCAGCGGGTCTGGGGGTGGGGAGCAGCATGAGCTCCCTGCAGGCCCCACAGGAGTGGGGGAACCCCACAGGCGCAGGGTGCCCTGGACCTCTGTGGGGCTCGGATCCCTCACCCCGTGTACCCCGAGAGTCAGGGTGGCGGTTCCCCAGGATCACACAACAGCATCTCTGCTAACACCCAGCCCTGGCACGAGCTCTGCAAAGAACAATTGCACAGCTCTGCAAACAGGTATAATCTGCCGCGCTGTCTGCACTGCAGGGCCCTGCTCCCTATGTGACTGGCAGCCTACACACACCCTCTGGGAAGTCCGCCGGGCCTTGGACCCTGATAGGACTGCAAATCCATGTCTCTCCCTTTCCAGCTCCTTAGGAAAGTGAGTGGGGGATCTGTGCCCAGGGCTGTGAGGTCCCCTGTTCCTCTCTTCCCAAGACAAAAGCAACTCCAGATCCTGTTCCCAGGGTAAGAGTTGGGGAGGGGAGTGTCCGTGACTGGAAGCTGCTCCTCTTGGGGATGCTGTTGTGGGAGGCAGCAGAGGCTGCCCGAGGACCAGAGTTCCAGCTGGAAGTCTCACCTGCTGAGGGAGGACCCCAGGCCAGGGCAGAGGCCCCAGGTCTGTGCAGTGTCCCTCACTCCCCTGCTCCCAAGCACCCACAGGAACTCCTGGGGCCACCAGGACAGGTGCCAGCATCGCCACTAAAGTGTGTGTGTGTGTGTGTGTGTGTGTGTGTGTGTGTGTGTGTGTGTGATGTGGCAGCAGAACCCAGGGCCTCCCACGCCATAGTGAATGCTCTGCTCCAGAAACCCCATTTTAAGAGGAGGAAACGAGGCCCAGCACAGCAAGCCTCCTCGCCAGGGTCTTTCTGCACCTGGTTGGTGCTTGCTGACTTGCAGGTCTTCTGGCCGTTCAGATGAGGGGACACATTCATCTCCTGCTAGGATACAAGGGTTCAAGGAAGCAGGGCCAGGCAGACAATGTCTTCATGCAAATCAGAGAACGACGCCCTTCCGGCAGGTGACACAGCCCTGCACTAGGAGCCCAGCCTGGACCGGGCTTGCTTGTGCAGTGAGCAACCTGTATAGCCATCTATGGGACCTATACTGTGGGCTTTCCCAGGGTTCCAAAGACGCTGCTTCATGAAGGGTCCCAAACAAGGACCCCAGTCTTGGTCCAAGGCCAGAGGTGCTCACCTTCCAGCACCTCCACCAGCACCTTGTGGAGGGTGTCAGCCTCCCTGCCACGGAGGGCCTGGCACTGGTAGAGGCCGGCGTCCTGGGCTTGGAGGTTCCGCAGTGTCACAGTGAGGGTGCCGCCCAGGGCATCGTCCGTGATGGCCGTACTCCCGTTCCGCCTCTGCAGGAAGGCCAGCAGCCACAGACTGTGCGTGCTGACCACACGCTGGCACAGGCCCTCCTCGCGCGGCTGCCGGCACCAGGCCTTGCGGCGCCCCCAGTGCTTCACGGGGTCATAGGGGCAGGAGATCTGCAGGGACCGGCCTGCCATACCCTGGAGCACTGTGGTGTTGTGGGCTCTGGACAGCTCTGGAGGGGAGACAGCAATTCCTGACTTCATCTGTGTGCTAAAGATTTACTGAGCACCTACTATGTGCAGCCAACCGAATGGAGCCCAGCAGGAGCTTGGGTGCTCACACAGGCTGCAGAAGGAGCCCCAGATGCGGCACCTGCTGGTGGGAAATACTCCTGGCTGCTCGGCTCACTGCTGGACTTGCTGGGTAACTGGAGAAGCAGCAGGCCTCTCTGGAGCTACTTCCAGAGCCCCTCATCTGCAAAGTACCACCAGTCCCACTCTGCACACGTCTCTTGTCACATGAGCCCCGGGCCTCTCCTGCCCCCTCTCCAGCTTAAGGGCGGGGCTGGTGGCCCCTCGCTGCCCTGGCCATCCCTAATGGTACTGACACCACATCATCTGCCATCCTGACCTTTAGCTTCCAGCTTCCCTATTTCGCTGGCTTTGTTCCCCTTTCAGGAAGGACTTGTCTAGAACTATTTTGGGGTAGACATGAGGCTGCTATTTTGGGGGTTCTCTGGGGAGGAGGGGCTGGCCTTGAAGCTCTAGCTCAATCCAGGGTAGGGGCTATAAGGGATCACCCAGAGCTCCTGCTGCCCCCTTGGCCTAGCTCCAGCCGCAAAGGTGAGGGACGGGATTGAGGCTGGCTATGGTGGCGCACACCTGTAAGCCAGCCCTTGGGAGGCTGAGGCAGGAGGATCACTGTGAATTCGAGGGCAGCCTGGGCTACAAAGTGAGCCTAAGCTACATAGCAAGACCTTGTCTTAGAAAAAGAAAAGAAGAAGAAAAAGGAGGAGGAGAAGGAGGAGGAGGAGGAGGAGGAGGAGGAGGAGGAACAAAAAAGAAAAGAGAAGAGAAAAGAAAAGAAAAATGGGTTTGAAATGTCAGTGGCCTGCACTGTGGAGCTAGAGACCTGTGCACCCTCCCCAGCGCCCCTGCCTCAGAGAGACTCACTCCCTCCCCCAAACTCAGGGGACAAGACTTTCTGGGGACGGTCCTCCCTCTACCCAGGTCTTCTCACTGCCCCGGGGGAGCCAGAGATACCCAGCCAGGAGTCATCAGCAGGTCAAAAGTTTTGGCCCAGCCTGGGTAACTCAGAGAGATACCATTTTAAAATGAGAAGGGCGCCTGTCCTTACCAGGGAAGAAGGAGTTGTGTGCCAGGCTTTGGGGTGACCCAAACCTTCAGTCCCTTCCTCTGCTGCAGCCTCTTTCCAGCATCCCCTAAGACGCAGATCTTGGCCAGAGGTCTGTCTTCCTCCCTCCTGCCCACCCTGCCAAGCTCCGCGATAGTCTTCCCTGGAGAATCATTTCTGCGGTTCTTATCCGTGCCCCTTGAGCTTCCCCGGGGTGCAACAGGTTGCGTCCCGCCCTGCGAGGCCTGGGTCCAGCAGCCCCTGAGCCCCAGGAGGGCTCTAGCCGGAGGTTGCGATTTGAGGGCGTGGCTGGGAGGGAGGCGGGAACAGGTGGAGCCGGGCAGGGCAGGGCTGCGCAGGTGCCGGCTCCTTCCAGCTCTTCCTCCTCCGGCTCCGCGCCCACCGCCCCACCCACACCGGCAGAGGGAAGAAGGCCCCCCGCGGGCAGAGGGCACCTACCTGCGACAAAGAGCAGGAGGAGCAGCCGGAGAGCCTGCATGCCGCCTTCCCGCGAGGACAGACACCCGGGACTTGGGCGAGCCCTCCTCCTTCCCGGGAACTGCAGAAGCACTGTCGGCACGCGCGGCCCACAGGAACCGGGCGCCTATGATTCAGGACTGGCGTGGGAGGGAGGAAGGCGGAGGCGGAGGGAGCCCTGAGAACACTGGCCTCCTCCTGCGCTGGCTGTGCGGCGGGGGTCGGGCGCCGGATCCTGCAGGGCCCCACCCACGGGGCACCGTCCGCACAGCCCTCTTCGGCCTGGCTCCAGCCTCGTAGGTCACAGAGAACAGGTGCTCCCCTGGAGCCGGCGACTCTCCGCAGCACCTCTCAGGGCGCCCCTCCCCTGGACACCCCAATAGTGAGAGCGCAGAACTGGAGCAAGGCTCCTGTGTGCCCAACTACACACCCATGATACCCCTGTGCCTCAGTTTCCATATCTGTAAGATGGGAACACTGATAACACACGCATAACATGGGTTCCTACGAGTAAAGCGTTTCCAAACAGGGCCTACGGCACAGGAGGTGCTCAGCAGATAGGAGTACCGCCGTTGTCCCCATGCACGGGGACGGGGCTGTCAGTGAAAGGGAGGCTCTCGGGAATGTCCTGCTTGGGGCCAGCCTCCTGTGGGCAGCTCTGGCATTTGGGGGGGCATCCTGCTGTATGAATCGCAACACACCTGTGTTACTCTGTGTGAGAACCATTATCACTAAATCTGTCAACAAACACTACAATGCAGAACACTTCCGTTGCGCCCAAAGTGTCCTCGTGCCCGGGGTTAGCCAGTTGCCTCCCCTCCGGTCCAGGCTCCAGCAGCGGCCGGTCTGCCATCTGTCCCTGCAGCTTCCTGCCCTCTCTGACTTGTCATCTTGGGGGAGCCACACAGCACGAAGCCTTTGGAGCTCACCAGAGGGCACGGGGGGGGGGGGGGGGGGGGGGGGGGGTGGACGGCAACAGAGCTGCCTTTCTCAGCCCCAGCGCAGCCCCTTGTGTTGCAGGGCAGATCTTCTGCCCCAGGCCCCTCAGGCACTTCGCCTGCATGCCGGCTGGCGGGCACTCGGGTGGTTTCTAATGTGGGGCAATAATGCAGAAGGTCTTGGCTAATATTCAAATATTTATTTTTTTCATAAACAGATGTTTTCATTTGCTTTGGCAGTTTTAGGCGTAGAGCTGGGTGTGTCACACACATATAATCCCAGAGTGCCAAGGCAGGAGAACCCAAGTTGGAGATCAGTCTGGGTAATTTAGCAACTTTGTCTAAAACAAAAATACAAAAAGGGCTGAGGGGGGTGGAGAGATAGCTCATTGGTCTAAGCGCCTGCCTGGCAAGAACAAGGTCCTGGGTTTGATCCCCATGCCAGCCCCGCCCTGCATAGGCATAGCTAGCCACCAAGACTGGGCATGGTGGCGCTTGCTTGAAATCCCAGTTTTGGAGAGGCCGAGGCAGGAGGATCACTATGAGTCCGAGCTGCGTAGGGAGACCCTGTACCAAATAAATAACTTTTTAAGAAAAAGGCCTGGAGACGTAGCTCAGTGTGAAGACCCTGCAGCTCGTTGGTACTGCACATCAATCAATAATCAATTATCCACCCAGCCTCGGAGTGCGAGTGGGGATGCCAGGTCACAGGGTAAGTGTAATTCCATGAAAGCCACGCTGTTTTTCAAGAGGCTTTATCAGTTTTGCGTCCTTGTCACATTCAATAGGTTTCCTTCAGCCTTTCTGCCAGGTTAAGGTAATAAAATCTCAGCCCGGTTTTAATTTGTGTTTCGCCAACAACTCCAACGTCAGCCGTCCTCCAGCTGCTCACTTGGCTGCAATCTTACTTCATGAGCTCGCCGCTCAAGCGTCCTGTCCACGTACCGCTGCTCGCAGTGCGTCCTCAGGCCTCTGGGGACCCCGCGTGTGCCATTTATCACACATGTGGTTGGCAGCTGTCTTCTAATTTGGAGTTAGTTTTCTTTTCTCCTTAACAGCACTTCTCAAGTGGGTAGATTTTAAAGCTAACGAGTCCAATATATTGATTTTTCTTTCGTGGCTTGTATTCTTGGCACTGCGCTGAGGAATTTCCTCCACCTCGAAGTTACAAATGTCTTTTTCTATGTTTTTCATTAAAAGTTATTTATTTATTTATTTATTTATTTACTTTGTACTAAGAATGGAACTCAGGACCTTGCACTTGCCAGGCAGGGGCTTAGGCCACTGAGCTATCTCTCTGGCCCCTTTTTTTTTTCTTTTTCTTTTTGAGACAAGTTTTCCTCATGAAGTTCAGGTTGGCCTTGAGCTCACTTTGCAGCCCAGGCTGGCCTTGGACTCTCAATGATCCTCTTGCCTCAGCTTCTGAGTTGTTGGGATTGCAGGCATGCGACACCATACCTGGCTTAAAAGTCTTTCTTTTTTTTTTTTTTAACCTTTTGGACATGAACCAATTTTTACATGTATTGTAAGGTCTAACTTGTAGAACATTTTGTTTTAGCTTTTTTTTTTTTTTCATTTTTATGTATTTGGTACAGGGTCTCATTGCACAACTTGAACTCGTAGGGATCTTCCTGTCTCAGCCTACCCAGCACTGGGATTATAAGCATGCACCACCATGCCGGGACTCGGTCGCCCAGGGGTGGGGCCAGCGTGGGATATGGGACCAGGGATTGAACCCTGCCTGTGCCTGCCAAAGCAGGTGCTTAGTCTGCTGAGCTACCTTGCCGACGCTATTTTAGTTGTTATTTATTTCTATTTATTTTAATTTTTCATGTGAACACTGTGCCAGAATCACTTGCTAAGAAGGTGGTATTTTCTTCATTAATTGCCTTGAAAGGGCCAGGGATATAGTTTATTGGCATAGCACCTGCCTGACAAGTGCACGGTCCTGAGTTCAAGTCCCAGTACCAAAAAAATTTAAAAAACAAAGTAGTAATCCAGTATACTGAATTGCCCTTTGAGTCTTTACTGAAAATCAGCTGACATCTAAGTGGTCTGCTTCCTGACTGTCAGCTTGGTCCTGCTATCTACACCTCTGCTCTCCACGACATCTCAGTCGTAACTGCTAACCGTAGCTTTTTATCCGGGCATTAAAGCCAGGGGGTGAGGGAGGACTTCTTCAACGTGGCTTGACCTCGTGCTTGCCGGGCAGGCTCTGTGCCTCTGAAGTACATCCCCAGCCCCAAGTCCAGCTCCTTATTTGGCCATGTCAGTTTTAGAATCAGCTTGCTAATTTCCACCCTCCCACAAGGCACAGAGAGAGAGAGAGAGAGAGAGAGAGAGAGAGAGAGAGAGAGAGAGAG